AGGTAGTTAGCTCCTGGTGCCTCCAGCACAGATGCCAGTAACCTGCTCATATGGCGCATAGATGGTCTGCCTCTCCCTAGCTTTACTTTGTGGGTCACAGGGATTCACTGTCATCTATCTGTGTTGCAAGTATCGTTCAAGTTTATTTCGCATTTTAAGTATAAACATATGTAAAAAAGTAAAAGACAATGTGAATGCAGCTCAGTGAATTGTCACATACTTAACAAGCTCATGTAACTGGTCCCCAGACAGAAATATGAAATACTAACTTTGCGGAAGCCCCCTCAGGTCCAACTGCATTTCTGATCCCCACCTAAAGGCAAATACTATACTGGCTTTTAATCAGCACACACAACATGTTTCTCCTGTTTTGAACATTATGTGAATGAAATCACACTGAATACATGCTTTTGTATTTGGCCTTTTCACACAGAAGTAGGTGTGCGTCAGCTACAGTTATCACAAGTGAAGAACTCCAGCTAGTTAATGGCTGCTCATCATGTGAATCCTCCAAAACTTGCTTATCTATTCTGGTATGTATGGGCAGCCAGGCATACTGTATCCACACTGGGCTATTAAAAACAATGACGCTATGGCTTCATCGTTAATTTATGAGCACACTGTCTCTTCCCCTTGGGTGTATACCAGTGGTTCTCAACCTGTGGGTCGCAACCTCCTTGGAGTCACGTTATCAGATATCCTGCATCTCCAACAGTCATAGCAGCAAAATGCAGCTATGCAGCAGTAATGAAGTAACTGTACGGTCGGGGGTCACCACAGCATGAGAAACTGTATTAAAGGGTCGCAGTGTTAGGAAGGTTGAGAACAACTAGTCTGTACTAAGAAGTGAAACCATGGGGTCAGAGTAGTACGCCTGTATTCAACTTCTGTGGAACCACCACCCACTAACTCTCTTAGACCTCCCATCTTTCCTGTTTCCTTCAGGTGAGCTTACTTCTTGTTTCCTTTGCTCCCATCTTACTGACGTAGGATCTCAGGGCGCTGGTTTCATTGGCTTTCCTCCCCAGCACTGCATTTTCAACATCACACATATTCCCCTCTGAGCACGGCTTCAATTGTAGTCCTCAGATTCTGGCGCTCTTCCAGGTAATTTTCCTTTGACTCATGGGTTACTTAAAGGCATGTTAATTCCTAGATATTTGGGGGACTCCCCAGGTATGTTATGGTCTAAGGACACATTCACTGTGATTTCGATTCTGAAAATCAGCTGAAAATCCTGATGGCCTATATGTTGAATGTGCCATGTGTATTTGAAAATGTTTCTTTTGCTGTTGTTGGACATAGTTCTATAAATGCCAAATAGTGTCTGGTGACTGACAGTGTCGATCAGATTTTTCTAGAGCCTTACTAGTAAACATAATTCTATAAATTACTAAAAGGGCATTAATATTTTCAATTGTGTAGGTCAGCTTCCCATTACTGACAATATAGCTATAAATAAAACAATTTGAGCTGTTTTCTTTTGACTCATTGCTCCAATCCTTCATAATTTGCTCCCATAACTTTGGGTCCAAGGTGAGGCTGAACACGATGGTGAGGAGCATGTGTTGGAGCAAAGCTATTTGCTTCATTGCAGACAAGAACCGGAGCGGGAACATGAACAAATGGGCCCTAAGGAGCTACTCCCTTCGACAAGGCCTCCACCCCCAAATTATGAACCTACCAATAGATTAGTCCACTGATGAAGTCAAAGACCCCGGGATTCATTCATTACCCAAAGCCCTACCTGCTGCACTGGGGATCATGCTTTCAACATGTGGAACTCAGAGCAGAAGCCCAATTGTGACTGTAGGTTTGTCTTTCTCCATTTAATCGCTTTTGTCCTCCTGTATCTGAAGTGTTAACAGTTACTGCAGTTACAGTTCAGGTGTCTTCCTGGGCAACCGCCCCTTTCTTTTATCAGTCTCAAATGATCTTTTAATTTATCCTGGTCTCTTGAAATCGGCGTCATCTAATACCACTGAAGCTGTTGTTAATATGGTACATGGTTGTGTTTTTTCATTTTTGGTAATATTTAAATTTTTGTATTCTAAAATACTCAATTTCCTATTAATAGTAGGCAACTGTGCTAAGATCATCGATCCTTGATTTCTCATTTGAAAGTTTGTTTTATTACACTTAAGGTGTTCTGGATTTGGCCACTTCAATAGATAAGTGCTGGCCAACTCTTTTAACTTATTTAAGTGACGTGATATGGAGCACCTGCAGATCTTCTTTAGTGAAGTATCTAATTAAGATCTTTTTGGGTCACTTTTTTTTTTCATCTGGCTGTTTATTTTCTTAATATTGAATCTTAAGAGAATACTTTGGATACAGTTCCTTAGCAGATCTATCTTTTAAAATACTCTGTGTTAGTCTATGGCTTGTCTTACTCTCTCTGCGTGTGTGTGTGTGTGTGTGTGTGTGTGTGTGTGTGTGTGTGTGTGCGCGCGCGCGCATGTGTGGTATGTACCATGAAGGTCTCTTTCTCCTCTCCTTGTCTGGTCCAGTCTGCTGGCCATGTTCAGTCCACCACTTCTCTCCCTGCTCTGGACTCCTCCGGACGGCTGTGCTCTCCCACACAGTGACAAGAAACACTTTCGTCTCGACCACACCTTGGAGCAGTTGTGTCCTCCCTTTGTTTACTAGGGTTACAATTTCCCATCTTCCCCCGGCACTTTAAGATGCTGTCTCTGGCTCCTGTTATTTCTAATGGGAGATTAACAAGAATTCCTGTCTTTGCTCTCTGTGTGATTTCTGCATGCTTTCAATATTTCCCGGTGGGGAATATGTGTGTCTGTGCACAGAGACCAGAGGGTGACACCGAGTATCTTCCTGAATTACTCTACCTTACATGTTTCAAAGAAAAGTCTCTCAATGACCATGGAATTCACCAATTTGGCTAGCCTGGCTCACCAGTGAGCTTCGGAGATCCTCCTGTCTTTGCCACCCCAGTTCTGGAAGGACAGAGCATTCACCACCACACTGGGCTTTTTGAAAAACCTGCATTTTAGGGGCTGAACTCAGGTCCTCATGCCTGCATGGAAAGCACATACCCCCATGCAGACACACATAACAAAAAATGTCTTTAAAAATACACAATTAATCATCTGCCTGTGTATGTTTATGAGAGCACACATACCACACCATGTGAACTGATTCTCTTTCCACTATGGGTCCTGGGGATAAAAGTCAGGTTGTCAGCATGCACCTTTACCTGCGGGACCGTCTCAATGGCTCAAGTCTACCTATTTTTATATACATACAGACCCATAAAAACTTCCCGGGTAAAAAAGTGTTGTAAGTGGAAATAGTTTAAAGCCTGCTCCATAGTGCTATACTGCTAAGCTGCAATGTTCAGTGGGCTAAATGTATTAAAGGCATTTTTTTACATGTGTGTGGAGTGTACGCACACATGTGCATGTACAGGCCAAACGTTGATGGTGCTGCCCCACCTCATATACTGGAGTAAGGTCCTTCATTTGAGCCCAAGCTTGCTGTTTCAGCTAGTCTAGTTGACTAGCTTGTTCTGGGGATCCCGCCTGTGTCTCATGGAATGCTGAGATTACAGACCAGCATATCCATCTAGCATCCCCATGGGTGCGAAGCATCTGACCTCCAGTTCTTACGGTTCTGTGGCAGCAGCATTACCTGCTAAGCCACCTCTCTAGCTCCTAAAGCTACTTTTGACAGGATAGTTTCAAGATACCACGGGTTAATCAAGATGTAAGCCTGTGGTAAGTTGAAGAGCGCCTGGATTACAGAGATTTGGAATTTCTGTCCTCTAGAGAATAGCAACTTTTAATTTTAGAAGACCATGAAACTGTTTGGAACCAACATGCCTGTTTATCTCTATTGCATTGCTAACAGTTAAATTCTCCGGTTAATTAGGGCTCCCCCTGTGTGATTCTCTTCTTTTTAGAACATCTTTCATCACTTTGCAGTTGCTATGGTCACTTTAACTCAGTGTTCTCATTCCTTAGTCAGTAAGTCTACAAATTTCTATCTGAGTTTTAGTTATGCTATGTCATGAAAGTACAGCATACCCAGAGGTGAAAAGCTTAAAAAAAGCCAAACAGGACACCTTTCAAATGGCCACTGTTTGTGCGTGCATGTGCACATGTGTGTGTATGCTCGCACTACTGGAAAGAGCACTAACACTGGAAAGTTGAAGGCCTGAATTTAAATCCTAGCCTGGCCACTGTATTACTTAAGGCAGGCTAAGTCACTTCTTACAGACCACTCTCTGCATGGAGATAAGAATGCTTCCTTCATAGAATTAGGAGAGTCAAGAAGACAAGGAAACTAAGGCTCAGAGGGTGGACAATGTGGACCTGTTAAGTGGAGGAAAGTGTACTGGTCACCTCACGCCTGTATGCGACGTTTTTCCTGCTACATAACACACACACACACACACACACACACACACACACACACACACACACA